CAAGTTATAAAGCTTTTGGATTAAAGTACTTGAATATATTTATTCTTAAAATCTTGAACCCACATCTTAAGCACCGAATCGAAAACCGAACAGAAGCAACAGCCACATCTTAACCGAAATCAGCAGACAACTCATTAAAATCCAAAGTAATTTTCCACACCATATCACCATGCATGACACATATATCAAAAATTTATGTGCGAAACGTCAGAAAGTTTAAACACGGCCACCATAAAAACAATTTGAATACATTTTTGATTACATTTATGGAGTCGGTGCTAGAAGGAAACCAAGTCAAGCTGAAAACAACTTTCGAACAACACTTGACATGGAAATTTGTGTGCGTATGCCCCTCTGTTTTTCCCCCCTCTTTTCTATGCAAACCATCCGGGACCCCAAAATCCCCATCTCAAAACCCAAGTCCTGTGACGAGGGCAAGTGATATGGGAGACCAAATATTTGTACTGTTTCTTGTGCTATGCCAAACTAAACCGAACCGAAATTTACAATTTCATAACTTTAAGTGTCCCTCATCATTTTGATATTCTTTTTTTTTCCGGTTTCTATTTTTTCCTGATAGTGAGAGATTTTGCAGCTATGGCCATTCTGCTCGTTAGCATTTTTCCGGTTATCTCTTGCCAGATTTATAGTGCTCATTGCCCCAGCGGCTGAGGCCCGTCATTTACGGTCACAATTTTTGACATTCATTGGCCTTTTTTCTCCGCTTCCTGTGCTCCTTCGTTATTTTTTTTTGCGGCTCCTTGGCCTCTCGATAGGACACGACACTCAAACTTAAATAGAAATGAGCGCATGAAGCGTGAAATTAAATTTGATAAATTCTATTTACGTATAGAGATGGAAGATTTGTGGGGGCGTTTTTGGCAGGACAGCGGGGTGGTGGGCGGGGTGGGAAATATAAGGGTAGCTGGTCCTAGGTCATAATTTAAGTGTATCGAATGAGTTTTTTAACGCTCGGTTGTGCAGAGTAAGCGTGATTAGGAGGCGAATAAAAAGGCAAGAGAGGGGAGTTTTGCAAAATAGGTAATAAAAAGTATGTACTGAATGTGGTCAAGGTAAATAGTAATTTTCAAGATTTATCTTGGGTTTCTTAATTTAAGAGATCTTAAAGCCGAAGCATTGTTTTAACCTGGGCATAATAAGGTTGTTTTAAAAGTAAAGTATTAAACGATTCCATGTCCGGTTTCGGGTCAGGAAACTTTAATTCTTGTGTAAGACAATGATTATTAATTGTGAAATAAGACCTTTTTTTGTAATTCATTAACACTGAACCATTTTCAAGAACCATTTTCAAGAACCATTTTCAAGAACCATTTTTAAGAACCATTCCGAGTAAACCGAAGTTTAAAATTTAGATCTATGTTAAATCTTTCTGTAGATTACAAAAGTTAAGAGCTATAATTCCCCTGCCTTCGCAGCTGCACATCGCTTTTTGTGCTGTTCATTATGAATGCACCACCCAAGTAAAAAGGAAGCCATAATAATATGGTATATACAAAATAATAATGTAATCATAATCATCTGAAGAGCCGGCCAAAGATCCGCCCACATAAACGGAACCGCAGAATCACGGACCCAAGAAAAAAAGCGACCACAGCAAAAGGTACATCAGACACTGGGCGCATTGAAAACTTTTAATATTCACTCTTGTCGGCTGCATAAATTAAGGCACTCACAAATGGGTGAGATTGATGGTACGGGGTTCGTAAGGAGGTTCAATGAGAGGAGAAGCTGAGTGTTGGCCAGTTGAAAATGCAATAGCGAAACAACAAAAGTAGCGCTGGGTGATAGTGTTGTCTTTCGAAATAGCTAAAAAAAAGATGAAAAACTTTAAACACGACTCAATATAAAATATGTAGCTAGGCTAATGCAGCCAAGTTGGAAACTTCTATGAGTAAAATGTTTTTAGTTTGGAATTTTAGATAAATTTTCAATTCAAATATAGTATTGGAGCTTATATGTGTGTATATTTAAATTAAAGTCAAGCATATAAATATTACCTACTACCTAGTAAAATAAAAATTTGTCCGGAAAGAGGCCGAGCTGGCAGGCCTGTTGGGGAGATGCTGCTGATGGAGCAGATAACATGCAAACCAATGGGAGGGCACTCGACTGAAGAGAGCGGCCGCTGAAGAGCAAGGCGCAAAATAAAATGCCAAAAACAACTCTCTAGAACCATTGGGGGAAAGAAGCAAAAGAAGAAGGGAAAGGAGAATATTCTGTGGGATAGGGAGGGGTGGAAGAAATGCACAAAGCGAATGAAGTATGAAAACGGCAGAGCCAAAGGGCTACCAACTTGTGGCGCCTTTTGTTGTTGCTGCCACTGCTGTTGGTTCCTGTTTGCTATTGCACTTTTGCGTGCCGAAAAGAGATGGCGATAGGTGGGGAAAAAGAAGGTTTAAGCTCGGTGGAGCAGCCAAAAACTGCGAGCCCAGTTGGGCCACTCAAACTCACTTCAATGAATACTTTATGGGTTAATAATCGTAAAACCATTCAGCGCAAGAGCCTCGTAGCCCTTTGGGCCTTTTGGCCTGCAAACTCATGCACTGGGAAAAAGTTTGGATGACCTGTACATATTTCCCCTTCTTTTGCATATTATGAATGCCTTTAATCTTAATATCACAAATACACATTAATTAGTAATATTTTCTCTTTGACATATTTGTAAAATGTAGTCTGCTTAATTCATAATACATATTTGCTATTTTACCACATTGTATTTTATCAAGGTATTGCTGTTGGGAAATAAGCTTACAATAATTTTGTCAAAAGGTACACAATTTTTAAAATTAAATATTATTTTCTGTTATATATTTTTTTGTGAGTGTAACCTCCTCTCTTTACCTTCTTTTCTTCCCATGGGCAAAGTTTTTGTGCGCGAGAATTCATAAACAATGTGCATAAAGCGCAAAATGTAGCGCTTCTGAGGGGGGGTATTCGGAACGGGATTTTTAAAGGGGTTACGTGGGTTTAAAGAGGGTGGGCGATGTCCCAGTGCAGTGGCAAATTGTTTGGGGCCTATTGTTGTTGTTGCTTTTGCTGCAACATGCTGTTGTTATTGTTGCAAGCGCAAGCTGCCTTTTTGAGTTTGTCAGGTGAGTTGGAACATCGCTTATGCAAGTTTTCGTGTTTCCCTTGATTTTCAACATTGGTCTGTGTGGGTGTTGTCAGGACTCTTATTGTTGTAGTTGTCATTGTTGATGTTATTATTGTTCAGGTTCTTAGTGGATAGACAGAAGTTGGCGCTGACAAACGATGCAAAGAGGATTTCAGGATGAGAGATGGTAAAGTGATTCGAGTTGATTGGATATGAACACGAGAAAGTACCATAATTGAGAGCCGCATGGACCACTCTTGTAAATACACAGCTTAAAAGCTTTTAAGTGGGATGATAATCAGGGTGTCTTACTTCTATGATTTAGCAACAGGCAAGTATGTTTTATTTATGTTGTAAAATTAAAAAAAAAAGAGTTTTAAACTAAAGTCCAGCAAGTAGGTATTTTAAAAGGCTTTCACTTCAACACATTACATTACATTCACTACATATAATTTACCTCAATTTTAACACCTTCCACGCTCAAAAATCTTTCTGAAACTTTCTAATTGCTTACAACCATTAAAAAACCCATAAATTTGCCTGTCAAATTTTAAATACTCATAAACATCGTTTCATTTATCATCCGCTAGTATTATTTTGCTTAGTTACAAATCGAATACAGATAAGAATCCCAGAAGCAGGTTTATCCCCTCTAGCAAAAGTTTAAAATGCCAATAACTCAAAAATAAATAACTCATACGCAACGTGGGCCTGGAAGGAAAACAAAAAAAGCCGAGGGAAAATAACAAAAACATTGAAACAAAGGCAAAGTCACGCCTGCCAAATGGTAAAAATGTTTCAGAGTCAATTGTAAATATTTTTGCCATTGAGTTTTATTTGAAAAGTTAACGCTTCCGTTGTTGTTTTTGTTATTGAGGGTCTGTAAAAATGCCACCACCTAATGAAAAGCAACCCCCAAAATGATGAGGGAGCGGTGAGTGTAAGCTATATACCTGGGGGGCCCGTGAAGTCTTACACGCTCGTTACGTTTGATTTATAAAAGTTGATGTTGGCGCTGTAAGGCGAACGCACAAATTAATTGCCGTTGTTGTGCGTTGATAAATTGCGTATACGCCGCAGTGTACGCCGGAGAGTTCTTGAACAATTTGCCGAACCGCGGAGTGAGCAGGCGAAATATTTAAGCAATAAATAAAATGCCAAGTCAAGTTCAGTTCGCTTCTGCAAATATCATTTGCTTTGATTAACGCACTGGGATAAAAGTGGGGTTATGGCCCAAACTTTGCCAGCCGTTTAGCAGTTGAAAAGATATTTTAACATGGATTCTTTGCATTTAATTAATTGCCATGTCTTGATCCAGGTGCGATTAACAACGGCAGTCCTCACGCGCTTTAGGTATTTGCGGAAGAGTTAAGGTAAGTGTAATTAGCAGCTAAGTCTCTAATAGCTAAAACTATAAGAAAATCTAACGAAATGTACTGTAATATAGTAAAGAGAATTTTAGGTTTATATTAAAGTAGTTTATTTCTAAACTGTTTTATTTAAAGTTCTTTGATTAATAATGAAAAGCATTATTAAGTAATATAATTTAAGTGCTATTTATTTTTTTGCAACTGCGAGATTTGCAAAAAAAAAAAAAAAATAAATAAAATAAAATAAATAATACAGCTTAGGTCAGATTTTTGACTTTTTTGACTTCTTCAACTTCCTTTGCAAGTAAATATGACGGATACAGTATACATTAGTCTTAAATTATATTTTCGTCTGGGTTTTTTATTTTAAGTCTTCTTATGATAACCTTTTAAGGTCGGGGACTCTATATTATCTTCAAACGGCTGGTCTTTCCGAGTGCATTTAGGGTATTTAAGGGGCCGCATTTTAGATTGCAGCAGTATAGTGATTTTAGAAGACGATGAAGTTCGCTGCTTTTGCAACTCTTGTTTTAGCAAACTTGTTCCTTGGTTCACAAGGACAGTTTATACATCCGAATTGTGGAACTGCCCCGAACAGCCCATGGCTGGCACATATCGAGGGACCCAAAAAAACGTGTGTCGGCTCGCTCATTTCAGACAGTAAGAATTCAATATTTGCTTATTTTCGGAAGCTAATTTTTATAACTCGTTTCAGAATATGTTTTATCTTCTGCTTACTGTGTAGAAGATCCACTACAAAAACTGTAAGTACCTTTAATTTAATTTTTTGTAGGCAAAATAACTTTTATTTAAATCTTATTTAAAATTTCCAATCTAAATTCACCCCAAAATCCAAGAAAACATATTGTAACCTAAAAAATTTAAAAATTGAGTTTTAATAATAGTTTATTAAAAAGACTGTCGGCAATCTAAAAATGTTCTCAAATTAGAATGTTAATTAATATCCATTAACCATTTTACAGACAGATTCGCTTGGCTGGATTCACATATAAGATTGCCTCGATTAATCGATTCAAGAACGAACTTGCTTTGGTTAAATTGGAATCGGTGGTGCAGTTAAACGGTAGTAGCCTTCATTATATTGGGTAAACCAAACGCTTATCACTTTTATAATTTTCTATTGCAGATATTGTTATGCCGATTTGCGTTTACGCCCAAGCGAATTTAAGTCTTCAGCAGCAGATAGAATCAACAGATGATTTATGGCAGAGTTCTTGGCGCAATGGGCGAGTAGATAAGATACTGGGACCCGTTAGCAGGATCGACACAAAAACTTGCCAGGACACTTTTATTAAAGAGATTACGGAGGATAAAATATGCGGGGAACCCTATAGTATGGAAATGAACTACGGTTCCGGTGGCGCTCCCTTGGAGATCTTAACAATTGATAATGGTCAACAGAAGATCGTGCAAATTGGAGTTGTTCTCCTTGGAAAACCAGATAATACAGGACCACTAATCTATTCAAACTTACTAAAATTTTCGAATTGGATCGCCAGATCTGTGCTGGAGAATATTTAAATTTATACAGAAAAACCTTTTAAATAGCCTCAAATAAAACAAGTTAATACATATATCTTTTGATTTATAAACGAATGACATGTTCTTATCAACTATATGAGAACAAACTTTGTCGGCTATAAATACTTTATACTTTATGGAGTTGGCCTAAATAAAATGCAATACATAAAAAAAATGATGACTTCAACTCAAAACTTCTCATCCAATATAATAATCATTCAGAAATCAATAAATGTGTTGTACGCGATCTTTTTTGTTGGAATAATGTAAAATTACAAACTTACTTGGGTTAAAATTACTTGTGGTTATGGAAGATACGACTGCTTTTAAACGATTATCAAACACTTAGCATCGCTGTCCATCCATTCACCTGCTCTTTGGTCCACTGTCTTCATAATTTATTTTCCTTAACGCTTTCCTAACTTGGGATTCTTTTTCCGGCGCTGCTAATGCGCGACCCCTTGCCGGGAAATCCACAGAAAGTCGGTACTTTGTTTTAGCATTTCTCTTAATTTGTTTTGGCAAGAAAAGAAAACAATATTTCTTTTGCTGCAAAAGAATGCTATGTGGATATTTTACTCGGACCCGCTGAGAGCGGCGCCAGCGGAAATGAAAACTTAACGCTTATTTGAGCCTTCAACAGTGCACATAAATCACCAGACTGATGTTGCTAGGCTTCCAGCTTTTCCCCCCCGTTTTCCGACTTTCCCGCTGTCCTCGCTGCTAAGCGAAAAATCAGCTTTTGTAGTCTACGCTTCGGAGTTCGAGGTCCTTTAGCAATCGCATTTGGAGTCTGTTTAGTTGGTTATTTTCTCTATTTCGCTCTGCAGTTTGTTCTGTCTGGGGAGCTTTGTCTGCAGGCCTGTCATAATTCCGTCTCTAAATGTTTTTCGACCGCATTATGCTGATGAAGACAATGGTGATGATGATGATGATGATGACGATGATGATTGGGCGCATATGTGCGTGAAAAGTGTTCCTCTCGCTTTTCCGCTTTTTCGTTTTTGTGGCGTGTGCAACTTCCGTTTCCGTTTGGCGCACCGGAAGCGGCAGACGCCTGTGGCAGGCACTTTCACTGATTGCCGCTGCTCCCCAGCAAATCAACCCCCCAAATTGTATCGCCCCCCTCATTTGTATTTTCAGTTATTAGCAGTGCAACCCCTCTTCTTTCCAGCTAGCAATAAAAAATCTTTCCCTGCGAACTGCATTTGATTGCCCCCAGCGAAATGAGTTTCGTCTCGGAGCGTACATTTTGAAGTAATCTCAAAATTTTTTGCTTTCCTCATTTGATTCAATTACACCTTTGGGTGTTGTAATTTTATTTTTGCCCTGCTCTTGCCCAAAACAAATGAAATAAAGCGAAGCACAAAGGATAGCAAAAGGAAATGAACATAAAAGAAAGGAAAATCGAGCAGGAATCAAGTAAGTGCAGCTGCTTTGGGAAAAAAGATGCGTCTGCGGCAGCTCTTTAAGCTGAATTTGGTGGGTGTCATTAGGTGCACAGTAAAAAAATGTGGTGCATTTTAATGAGATGAAGAAAAGAGTCTTTAAAGTAAAGTACTTTACAGTAGTAAAATATTCTCCTAACGTTACTTTTATATTTTTTTATTCATTTACTACAATAATTACACAAAATAATACCACAATTTATTTTAGTAAGATTTTTCAGTGCAAACCCAAGCTGAGGTCATTTGAGCTTCTTCTGCCAGCTTTTCACCACCAACAATGGGCGAAAAATGTGAATTTCGCGCTAGTTTTTATACAACAAGGCTGCTAATTTGATGCTGCAACAATGCAGGCAACAGTGACTCTGTTTGTGGCCCCTTTCACCCTTTCCCACACCCCACTGCCACGCCCCTTTTCCCTGTGAGAACCACAAGCTTATAAAAGCCACGCATCCATCAGCGCTGGAGGTCGCCTTTTTGGTTTAGCTTTAATTTCATGCTTACTTTAATGCGAACAAGAGGGAAAACCCTCTGTTTCCCAACCCCCTCGGATTTTTCCCCCTGCCCAAGTTGACTTTGTGCTGTAGTTAACGGCTTTTGGCAATGTGGGGGTCCAAGTGGGTGGTGGGTGGCCTTGGAGGTTAACTACTTTTCATGAGCTTAATTTTAAATTGAGGCTGTTGCGGCGGCTTCATTTACTTTGTGCCCCGGCCAACTTTGTTGCCAGCAAACTTTTACGCGGACTGTTTAGCAAAAAGGCAAAAGTTAACTTGTGCCCTTCCCCTTTTTTCCCCCAAAATCCCTTCGCCTCTGCGGAGAAATTCTATTAGGAAATGCAAACCGGTTGCAAGGCCATTGAGTTATTAAGCCAACTAATTGCTTATTTGCACAGGGGTAAAGCACTGCGATCGGATCCTCGCAATCGCAATTTGCACTCAGCGCGAAAAATTGCCACTCACGCCCCTTACTTTCGAGGGGGCGTGGCTATACTAGATAGCGAATCTCCCCATCCACTTTGGTCGACCATTCGCACAGTAACGCCTCCTTTTCATTTTCCTCGAGAGCGAGTGAAGTTGGTTGATTTTTCCAGCCTTAAGTTTTAATTGCGGCGCAAGTTGCTCATGATCGTGAGTTTAATTAAACGGCTAGCTCGGCCATTGCGTGTTGATAACTCTATCGGGCAGCATGGGTTATCTATCCATCTACTGAAATTAATATTTGTTATTTGCAACGTTAATAGAATGCAGCTGGAGCTTACCTTGCCAATGAGTAATGTGAAAAGTAATAAATAAGAGGTTGCACAACAGGATATTGTAAAAAAACGTCTATTATTCTCTTAGAGTTTTTATTTTATTTTAAATAATTAAATATTTTCGGAAAGTTAAAAATATTTTTGAGTGTTTTTTTTGTTATTAAGTGTTAAGTGAAACAAAAATATTAAAATTTTAATTAAAAAGAATTTTCTTAATATTTTCAACATTCGGAGATAAATATAAGACATTAATTGTTCGCTCTTTACCTCTTCCCATTATGGTTTTTATTTATTTTATAGCCCCTCACCTTGTTCCATGTAATTAGCTTTTACTTTAACTCCTCGAATTCCCATTATTTTCGCTTAATTAATAACTCGTTGCAACTTTGCAGACTTTTCCCAGCTAAATATGAATCTGAGCTGTCGTTTCATCCCACCGCTAAGCATTATGCACGATATCCTTGCTCTTTGCTCTGTCTGCATATGGGAGCAACTTTGGCCAAAAGCAAACCACTTAAATTCATTTTAATTCAAGCGGATAGCAACCTCCCATTTCCACCTTTTTTTTTTTGCAAATAACAAGACCCTTCGTAGCTCATAATAATTTCACAAGGCATACACTTGCCGTAAAATAATTTTCCTGCACTTTTTGTTTTACCTTTTGGAAAGCTCTTGGTAGTTTATGGTGCTCTGTGTCCCCGGGAAAATGTGTAATGTTTTTCTTTGGGGTTTTCCTATTTTTATTCGTTTTGTTGTGTGTCTAGTGCGTCTCAAAGGGTTTCACACTTTGTGTGTTTGCGCCAAGGGCCAAAGTCTGCATATGAAAATATTTGTAAAGCCTTTTGCAATGAGGAAGCAGTTTATGAGACGAGTCTAGGGGAAAGTGTTAATATAAATATTAAAGGCTCATTTGGGGTTATTTCAACTTTATTTGAGTGCTTGAAGATTAATTTAGGTAAATTAAAATATAGAAAATTAAGTTTTCAATACTGTACTGCATACTTAAGTTTAGCAATTATAAGCAATAGTTGAAAGCCTTAAAGATTTTTTAATTAAATCTAAAAATACATTGCTATTAATCGAAAGGGAAATAAAATAAACACCTTTCTTAAAAACCCTTGGGCACTATTTCCAAAAAATTGAAGACTTCCTTCAATTTGTTTGTTTTTAATTCGTGCGATTTTAATTGCCAATTGAATGGAGAGAAATCAATTTGGTGAATGGTTCTTGTGCAAACACCTTAAAATGCCATAAATTCTGTACGGCTATTTATTGTTTTTATCGCCTGACCCAAATTCACAGAGCAAACCAAACAGAACAGAAGCTTTGCCTGCAAAATGGATGACCCTACACATCATTCATTGCCATATCTTTCGATACCTAAGCCATTGTTTTTTGGCCATTGGCAAACAATACGACAAATTGGTATTGCATTGTCTATTTCCCCCCGTCTCTTTCGGTTTTCTGCAATTTTCGCAAATTGTTTTTACGTAAAATATTTGCGTTTAACTGCTGTTTCGAGGACCATTATACTTGTGTGCCAGGGATATAGTATATCTGCCATTTATATAGGCCATTAATATTGCATTTTTGTTGCACTCGAAATGTTCCATCGATCGCTAAATGCGATTTTTGTCAGCATTTTTGCCCCCGTTGCGTTTCAAATAGCAGAAATTCCTCGACATCGGCGCAGATTTGGCTGTTTTTCGCAGTTTTGCATTTCCGCATTTTTGCATCGAAATTAATTTGCGTAAATTGTATTAAATGTTTTGCCATGCCCAGCAAACTGTGCAAATTTTAATTGAATGCCTTTTGTTTGCCTCTGAATAATTCAGCAATGTTTGCCTTTGTTGCTGTAGTTTTTGGCCTTGTTAAATCGTTTTTCCACTGCTATTTGATGGGCACAAAAAAAGCAGCTCCGATGGCTCTCAACGCGATAAACGGATAAAGCGAAAAACCACCACAAGCACGGTAAATGCAATTTGAACGGTTCGATACTAATTGGTTTATAGATTTTATTATGCTTTAATTATTTCTCTTAAAATAAATATGCCTTTGTCGCTGTCCCATTAAAAGGTGGGTTATTAGTTTTAGCTAATCCTTTGAGGTGATCAACGCGGCTCACAAAAAATAAAGAGAAAATCCTGAATAATTATAAAATATTTTGACCGAAACGAAAATACACTCTAAAGTTAAAATGGAAACAAAAAAATTTTTTATTTATATTTATTTTTGTAAATAGATCAAATCGATTTAAATTTGCATATTTTTTTTTTTTATAAATAGTTAGACAAAATCGTATATCTATTTATGTCAAAATGTATGTTCTTACCTTTCGGCATCAATACCTTTTTCTCCTTGAACTCCCTTGGAGTTCAGCATCACCTTCTAGACGGCAATCCATCAATCCTTGAGTAAGCATGCCCAGAATCCATAAGCATGTTCTTGATGAATTACCATTTTAGCCAGTGGCCAGATAAAAACAGCCTTAATTAAAACCTGCCGAGACGGGACAGTTGCACTTGCGATGCAGCGAATAAATCTTTTGGC